CTCATCACCCCACCCCACCCCACCCCAGCCGTGCGTCCAATGATTTTCGCATGCAGCACAAATGTGATCGCCATTTGACGCACATTTTATTTGGCCTGTGTCTCTTCGCGCCAGCACACGCCTGAAATATAGGCAACAATTTGTTTTACCCGCCCCCCCCTCCTCCCCCCGGAGTACCTCTTCCCAGTCTGTGTGGATTTCCGGACGGTCAGAACTGTTGCTCCAGGTGTTGGTCACTCGGTTGCTAGGGTCCTTGGTTTGGTGTTCCGACCGATTACTTTGTGGGATCTTCACGTGACATAGGTTGTCATCACGGTGGAAGTGATTGATAGTGGATCATATTGACCCTCATTTTGGAAGTGTAACGTGCCATAGTTCACATTCGAAAGTGAGCTAATTCATGTGGTCTGTATATATGCATGTGTTTTGGCTAAACACACGTGGAGTGTTTGCTGTTGTTCGACCCGGTCACTGAACATTTGACCTCATCAGAACTACANTTTGACCTCATCGGAACTACAAACGGACTCCAATGGAACAATCAATCTAGGCACACAAATCGGAATGTCCAAAACGAGACTAAACACGGATTAGTTACTATAATTCACAAGAGCCATGAATGAAAACAGCCTGAACGACTCAAATGTAAAACATCAACGGCTGTTGAGAATAGTAATAAATTGATAGATAATCAACAATAAATGAAAGTTGTATACCTGTTTTACTCGTGGTCATTTGTCCTTCAAGATCGATTTGCTTGTCCCCATGTGTCCAACCTCCTCCTCCTCCTCCTCATCATCATCATCATCATCATCATTATCATAATCAACATCATCATTATCGTCGTCGTCGTTGTCACCGTCCCCATCAGACTAGGGAGAACATTGCCAGTGGAAATAACTGTACACATTTACAAATGTTTGTTCTCATTCCGAACAGATATGTTCTTTGGGTTATGAGCGTGGATGAATTTAAAAATTCACTAGCGCAATAAAAGAACACAAGCAAGATTATAACAAAAGATTCCTTGTTAATTTATTTTGAAATAGACATGAATAATGTCTCAGTCCACTGATGGCACGGCTTTTTCTTCCTCTTCGAGACCATTTACTCCTGGACGTGAATGCACATGCCTCATTGGCTCGCCGAACAATTCGGTTCCAGTGTGCTCAAACTACCCGGCATTGTCAGAACAGCAATTCTGTCTTGTCCTTCGGCTGTTGCAATTTGTGATATTTGTCATAAAAGTGTCTTATCTAAAGGGTTTATGTGAGCGCATAAAATATATGTTCGGAAGAAACAATGAACCATGGTTTGAGCAGTTTAGTGATCTTTCGTTCTTAGGCACAGAGGTGCATCATCAACAGCATCCTCATCGTCATCATCATCATTATCATCATCATCATCCTGGTCTGTCTTTCAGCCTCACTGAATTTAGCAATCTTTATGATCCTTAACGCGTGATTAACGCATCAAAAAACCGAGTACTCTGCGGAACAAGACGCGGACATTCACTTTTCTGCATGATCAACCGCATGTAACTGTCATCAAATTTTTAGGCACTGCAGTCCCTCCCCCCCGCAGCCGTTCCCGTCCGCGTCCCCAGTATCTCGCTCACAAGAAACATTTGGTGCATGAAGCAATCGTAAATCCGAGAGCGCGTGCTCGTGTGAGTGCATGTGTGTGTGTAGTTGTCGTCAGATCAGCTCTTCGGAATCCGCATGTTCTCATTCATTGCTTGTCAGCCCTCCCCCCGGCCACTCTGATCATTCAGTTTTTCAATGAGACAACTGAGCACAATGTGTTGTATGTCTGTATAGCATTATGTGTTCCCGATTTGATGAGGGATAAAGATTGGGAAGCAGCAGGGAGCTGTGCTCACACACCTGATGCCCACTGCACGCCAAACATGGTCCGATTGATGAGAGCGATGGTTGATGCGACGGAAACGGGGAACTACTGTGAATTCCCACCAATCAGAGTGTAAAGTTTTGGGGGGAGAGTGATGAATGATGGGCACTCGTTTTTCCAAATGCGGCATTTTCCGATGGGTGCAACAAACTGATTGGGAGTGCAAGGACGACGATCGCTCACGAGGTGAGAGGAAGGGGGAGCTGGAGTGGGGGGCCCCTGAAGTGGGGGGGGGAGGGGAGCAAACAGGAATTTATCGCTGTCCATCTTGCTCACAAGTTGATCCAGCTAGAGGCTTGAACTAGGGGGTACAGGGTTGGAATTAGGTGAGGTGCGAAAGTGCGCCATTTGTGAAGTGTGCTGACATGAGGTATGAGCAAACGGGAAAAAAATTGTTACAACTTTTTCACACATATGGAATGATGTGTTCCTCATAAACATATGTGCGTCATATTGGATAAAGTAAAACAGATAAGCATAAGACAGCAAACATATCGTACATTTGACAGATGCTACTGACTGAATTGAAGATTACTTTATATGGGATGAAATCCAAGCGAAACACCGCGCCTGATCATGGAGATGGTCTCTTATATATCGTTCTGAACCGATTCATACTGATCATGATTCATCGAATATTTCCCAGGCTTGAACCATAGAAACCATGTAGAAACATTTGTGTAATGACTNCGGAAGCAATTTAAATGAGAAAACCGTTTCTCCCTCGCTTTTGTCGCTTTCTGACTTGACTTGTCATGATCTTATGGATACATATTGGGGGTCATTCTGCGTTGCTAGATTATGTATAGCAACCACTGAACCCATCAGATACATACAGACGCTTCATTTGAAAGAACAGCGTTACAAGACCGTGGCATAGTACTGCCCATGTTCCCTGTTAGTGAAAGATCATTTTTACGAGCACACGATCGACTTTCTCTCGAGCGCTGGGCTCTTCATCACTTTCAGGTAAACTTTTCATATTTGCAAAACTCAGATTCACTCCATGTCTGAATCCTGTGGTCATTTGTAGGGTGAAACTTCGTTTCCCTCTTTGTCTCTTCGTAGTCGGATTCAATATCGGACCCGATTAACGACTCGCCTCTGAGACGTAATTTGCAGCCACTGGCTCATCATCCGGTGGTTGCTTATTTATCCTAAACTACACCGTTTTGGTTTTCGTTCAATAGAGCTTGTATCTTCCATCCCGTTCTCATCCTTTCTTCCTCATAGGTCCTCGGCACACAAACTGTTAGTCTCCCATTCCAAGGGATTGTTATACACTTCAGGCAAAACTTTTCCCCGAAAATAGCCAAACTACTGAACGCTCTGCTCTATTCCGTCTTTTGTCCATCTTAGAACAAAATCACCTTTGAACGCTGAATCTAAAAGCTGGTCCTAACTTGACGGTCCCCTCTTACTCTCGTCCACTATGCATTATGAAACAAACTTCCATCAGTACCAGATTTTCGCATGTGAGCCGGCTTTCTTATACTGAATTATCATTAAGTAGATCAGGAACCAAACGGACCGTTTTGTATGGAATGAATGCGCAGCTTTAGAATACTTGTATTATTCATTTCACTTAATAATATGTATCGTGGGGCTCTGTCTATTCCTCGCTCTGGTTTGCATTTGGCTTTACCCGTTTTTTGGATCGTCAATTTGAGTTGGCCTGATTTATTGAGCTCGGGGTTGATGATGAGCCAGGATGCGCTGGGGGCTGGCCCGGACGGGAAAAACGCGCAAGAACAATGTCAGCAGCAGCAGCAGCAGCAGTAGTGAGGTGGTTGGTCATGGGACAGGCACACCATCTGCCGAGCTAATTGTCTAACTGCATAGATAGTCAGTTTACACCATCCCTCCCTTCATGTGTGAGCTGGGCCCTGAGAAGAATAAGTAGTCCGTGCATTCATTTGCTAGGACAGTTCGGTCAACTGGTGACGTACACCGAACCAACAAGAGGAAGGTTAGCTTCGTACACCATATACATGTATTCCCGATGCGGCAAAGCATCAGTAATCCGAGTTGGGAAACAGATAAGACGTAAAACGTCCATTCACGCACCCAGTCACGAATGCTCTAGCATGGGTGGGGAGGGGACGACCAAGCAAGTAGACTGGGAGCCGACAATCGGCTGACAATCTGTGCTCTCAGGGTGAGGGGTGAGTGAGTGTTCCAGATGGCTCCCAACGCGGTGTGCGAGCTGCTGTAAGATCTGCTACTGAAATCAGTTCATCTTCCCTCTAGGGTGGATGGGTGGAGACCATTGAGGACATGAGTACAAAAACTACTGGGACTATAAGGAACACGAGTCAACAATGGCCACAAGTGTACACAAACACACACACACGAGTGCATAGAAGCAGAGGAAAATCTATAGATTTAGTTAGTTGTATGAGTGGATGGACAAAGCTTTGCGAAGGAAAAGCGGAACTCAGGCAGGCAGAGGGACAGAGAACAATGAGATAAAGAGGCTGGGGNCGCGTGTAGAATTGAAGTGAATATGAAAGATGAGTGCGTGTGTGTGTGTGTGTGTGTGCACGCGTGTGGGCACCATTCTCATCTGATAAAGCTAGTTGTCAAACTGGGCAACTTTGCGCTTCAACCTAGTACCGAACAGTATTCAGATTTGAGGGGACAGGGAGGCCGTATAGATGTTTTCATATACATGCATGCTTGCTGTGTCGTTTTGAGCAGCCTGTAGCAAAAACAAGTTGGTCAATAAATAGAGTTTTTTCGCGATTGATGATCGTACCAACGGGGCCAGGGGTGATCCCATCAAACGTTCTCGATTTGGGACGCAGATTTTGTCCAGATTTATAAAAGTGTAAAGATTGAATAGGATTACGATTTGGCATTTGAAATAACGCATGTGATAGATAGATAGATAAACCAGTGATGTATTGACCGGTGGTTATTTGTTATACTTTTGTCCTTTCTGGAACTTAGGCTATGATGTGATTTTGAAGTGCTTGGGAACTTATTTTAACTCAAAACAACAAAGTCGCTATTTCGATAACCTTATCCACTCGATCATCACTGATCTGTGCCAAACGTGACAAGCCGTCTTCTTTGTTTCATTGCAGATTACGAAGAAACAGTCGGATTCAATCATACAGATAACTCAGTCACAACTCTGCCCATTCCACCCGATGTTAGAACACCCCGAGACAAGCACACTGATGCGATGGCGATAATGAAAGGGACAGTTGATGAAACCCATCTGGAAGTTATGTGTCCTGGTGCTACTATAACACAAGCGGAGCCAAAACAACCGAAAAAACGTGGACCTAAAAAGAAGCCCCTGACAAAAGAGCGAGAGGTCCGATTGAAAAACCGTCGTGTTCGTGCTAATGCCCGGGAACGAAGTCGAATGCATGGGCTGAATCACGCTTTGGAACTGCTCAGACGTCACGTGCCCACATTTTCCGCTTCACAACGGTTGAGTAAAATTGAAACACTTCGATTGGCTAAGAACTACATTCGATCATTGACTGATCTGTTAACACGAAGTGAACCACCGTCACATTTAGAACTAGCCTACACTCTCACGGAAGGTTTATCTCAAAACACTTCGAATCTCATAGCAACCACATTACAAGTTAGCCCCCGGGCATTGATCCAGTTGCAACGCCAAAATTCCAACGAGGGGATGAAAGAGTCTCGAATAGCTTGGTCCCCAAGTCCATCATCATCACCCGGTGCCTCCTCGTCCACTTCTCGTATGACCAGAAATTCTTCACGTCAACCAACCTACGCGGAACAGACATCTCGAGCTACGGTACCAAACAATTTGTCAACGAATCGGGTCCCACAAATCCCCTCGGTTCACGTGGAGGAACCATCCATTCCGGAATCGGATCCACTTGTCTATACTCCACCGTGCACCCGGATACGATGCTCAAATCCGATGGACTATAGCATGTCCATGTGCTTTTCGCCCAACTCAAATGAAACATCTGTGATCTCCGAACCCATGTTAAATAAACCCTATTTTGGAGGTTATAACCACACACCTTCCTCTGCTTATGGAACCGAGTCCGTGGCATTTGTGTCCGGTGCAAACACGGTACTGACTCCGGCGTTTCACGCTGCCTCGTGCATGGATGCTGGTGTAGCCCCGAATTACCTGTCTGACTTTTCCTACGAAAACTCTAACCCGTACGCATACACGCAATCTTTCACAACACCGACTAGTGGCTATTTGCCAAGCCTATGATGCTACACTGACCTCATGTAAAGAAAACGATTTGTGACACTATCGTGCAGTCTACTGTCTACCCAACGGGGTAACAAATTGATTCAACCTATCTTCTAAACCAGAAAACAGTCAGACTATGACTGAAGAATATCTTCTATACTTTATTCCATGCCTATCGTTTCCATATCAGTAAAAGTTGTACATATATGCCCACAATCAGTCCGTCAGAACAATGAGAAATACATGATAAATTGTATTCTTTCGCATAGACTACTGGGATTTATCCGCCCCTAAGCCACTACGTGCTACCTAGACTAACTGAGACTGAGGTGACGAACTCGTGGGCTGGAATGTTACTGGGGGTAAGGATGATGCAATGGGATTTACAAACAAACTGGTTTCCGGCATTCGCGAAAGCCCAGCGTCCTGTATCATCACGATCCCGTGTCCCTCAACTCCACTGTCTCCATCACTCCCATCTACGCACTGATGCTAACCAACTTCGGTTTTCTTTTGCCTGATGTAAGACAGCTTTTTCCTTCCGAAACCTATCCACAATTTTCCTCTGCGAGGTGAAACTGCATGTACAATATAGCTAGGACAATGAGTATAGAACTAATAAGATGGACTCATTCATTCTATGCACCACACAAACTCATTTAGGGTTACGCGTCCAATTCCTCTACACCGGATCAGGAGCATTGAGAGCTATGATAGATTAGCAAAAGGTTTTCATTCTAATCCAGATCTTTGAATAGAGAATGCACAGTTCAGTACTTCCGTGTTGAGTGTTCACAAATTGGATGTGGATTATACTAAGTGTGAATTGTGCAACGCGAACATAACACATTGAATCGTTTCACTTTCGCTCAAGCGTGACTACCTCGAACCTCAGGAATCTCGTCTTCGGAAAGCTGCCCGATCTTGAATATCCCCTCAGTTTGTTCAAACCATCGATTCCACCATTAAGTTGGTACAAAATTCTATCCTGTTATGTATGCTGGACAGGTTTGACTTGCTTTTGATCACATAAGCCCATCGGAATCGGCTAGTTGTCTAACTAAGCAGCATTTTCTGTGTGCATGGGCTCATGAAAACCGTGTACAGTACACCATATATGGTTGCTTCCGCGATAAAACCACACGGACATTTAACGAAATTGGAAAACCAGAACCAACTTCCATGAACCACAAAATAACATCTGATCCTCATCCGGGTTTCAGAACACATGCGGTCGAAATTGGAGGGCTAATGAGGTTTCGATCACTGAGAGTTTCATCTGACTGGATGTTACTGACCGCATATAAAATAATTTTAGGATTCATTGGCAAATCAATCCATGAAATGTCAAGGAACTCTTGCAAGCCAGATATCATGCAACTTGGTGAATGGTAGAAAACCTTTCCCAAGGGTATATTAATTGCATGCTTGGGGAAACAAAGAGGGTCAGTGGTGGATTTAGATGAAGTGAGAATGTCCCCAGTCTCCTACTTTACCACCACCATCACCAGAAGGACTGGACCAGTCGGTCAAATGTGACCGTTGATGAACTATAGATACTCCTTGAAGGATGTTTACAAGCCACATGCAGCCATAATCTCCAAATTTCAATGAGATATGAACACGACTCACGCTTCATCTGAAATGCCGGGTCTCCAAGTTGGATTTGTTGATGTTGATGCTGTGAAGCGTAATCCTGATGGTAATTCTGGTCATGGAGTCAGATTTCTGCACAACTTTTTAAAGTTTTAGTAAGCCTAAAGACCTACGTTTGTGATAACCTATTGCGATTTCCATGGGACTGGTGACGTTAGAATGAGAGCGAACGAGCATTCGCTTTTGGTGGGCATTTGTTTGCATTGAAATTAAACGTTCGTCATTTTGTCCATTTACCGTGGTACTTTCTGATTGCACGTTGCGTGAAATATCTTGACGACCGGTTCAAATATGGAGAGACGGGGGAACGTAAAATAAAACAATTTGAGCAGGAAAATTTCTGATAAGTAAGTGTATGCTTGCATATACCGGTGTCCGATGACTGGTTAATTAGCGCACACACCCACAACGTTTGTTGGACTGTGTGATCTTACTAATTAGCCCGAAAACTAAACCGGTCGAAAAATGGCCACACAACAATATGTCCA